TTTCGGCCACAGAACTCCTGTGTGGGTTTGAACCACCAGCCTTTAGGTTAGCGATCCAGAGCAAACCATTTGTACCACCCAAGGACAGGAGCCTTAACATAAACTTTGGTGCACCATTCCACTTGCCATGAAAAAATTCAAGGCTACCTAAGGAAGGGAATTTCACTTTCAGTGATATGTAAAAATATTCTCATACGGTTTTATAAAATATACATTAAGCCATGTCTAACAAGTTCTTATTGGTTACACTTGCAATTCTGGTAAGAACAGCACAGTAAGGATAAATAATATTCTATAAGCCAATAGTAACTCTTCTTAATAAGCATCTCTTAATATGCAAATCCTCTCTTCCTATTGGTGGGGTGAAAAAATAAAACAGCTACAAATTGCTTTAGAGCACACAATTTCTCTGGCCACATCTTTAAACCAGTTTGGAGTAAGGGGAAAAATGTGCGTGCGGAGTCGGGGATGCAAAAACAGGGGAGAAAAGGGAGTTGTGGTCGGCAGAATTCTAAAGATGTCCCCACAGGATTCCCTGGTTATTCAATCAAGCACTGCTATGAAGGCACTTTGCAGATGTAATTAAGGTTACTAATCAGCTCATCTTAAAATAGGGAAATGATCCTGCATTATTCAGGTGGGCCCAGTGTCATCGCATAAGCCTTTGCAAGCAAAACGGTGCATCAGAAGACTCAGCGAGAGTAAGCTGATGAAAAGCAAGAGTAGAGAGGAGTGAGCCACGAGGTCAGAGATAATATGAAACACAAGCAGAACTCTACCCAATGTTGCTGGCTTTGAAGGGGCTACCAGCCACAGGAGGAACCCTTGAGGCGCAACAGTGGAAAACTTGGCTGCTCACCAAAAGGTCAGTGTTTCAAACCCACCCCGCTGCTCCATGGGGAAAAAAGATGCCAGTTGGCTTCCACAGAAATAAAAACCATTGCCATCTAGAGATGCCCCAAAGGTGGTAATCTTTACAGAGGCAGGCTGTCTTATCTTTCCCCTGTGGAGTAACTGGTGAGTTTGAACCACAGACCTTTCGGTGAGCACCACAAGACTCCTCCAGAAAACTGCAGCCTTGCTAATGCTACAGGTAGTTCTGCTTCATTTATGCGGCCAGTGTGAGTCAAAACTGGCTCAACAACAATGGGTTTGGGGTTGGGTTCTTTGATACCATGAAAAAGTTAACATGCACACCTGCTAATCAACAGGTTGCAACCATCAAAAGTTGGGAAATAAAAAGAGAAGAACTTTCAGCGTTTCTTAAGGAAAAAGCTCTCAAGCCTCAAGTTTCAATGTTGACAGATTATATGGACAAAATAATGAAGGAAGTAGGAAGAATCAAAAGAAGGTAAAGGAATACATGGAGTCACTGTCCCCCAAAGTGTGTTGGAGTTGAACTATTTCAGGAAGTAGCATTTGATCAAGAACCAATGGTATAAAAAGAAGAAGTCCAGGCAGCACTGAAGGCACTGGCAAACAATACGGCTCTAGAAACCAGTGGGGTGTCGACTGAAATACCTCTGTCCTTTGTGCATGTCAAAGGAGAGGCCAGTCCCTCGGGAAGGGCATCTGCTGGATAAAGTGAGGGTCAGTGAAAAGAGGGCGACCCTCAACAAGATGGATGGACAGCGTGGCTGCAGCCACGGGCTCTGACAGGAACTAGGACCAGGCGGCAACCTGTGCCCTTACCCACAGGGTTACGATGAGTGCGAGCTAACTCCAGAGCATCTAACAAAGAAAACGACGTTTCCACAAAATGTGGTTGCTTCTGCACAATGGAGGATGCTTTAAAAAGCTTATGAAAAAAAATGGAATTCAAAGGTGACGGAAATTTTCCATGAACTTGATGGGAAATGATAGCAACTTAAAAAAAAAAAGGGGGTAATTAAGATCACAAACCCGTCAGGAAGGAAGGTTTAAATCACTCCACCAGGTAAAGAACCCTTAGCAGCTCAGGACTTGAGGCAGGACCAGAGGAATGCAGATCGGATAGTGCAAGACAGAAGTAACAGATACGATGGTGTCAGGATTATTTATAGACATGAGGACTACAGTAGGTTTGCATATTTCCCATTTAGTTGTCATGCATGCCTATAAATGTAACCCGCTTTCTTTTCTCCTTCCCATATATGTTACTGAAAGTTAAGTGTACAATTTAGTCTTTAATTAACAGAACAGTCAGTGGGACTGTATTCTGGACTTGAGCAATTGGTACAGTCAGCCATGGATAAAGCAGTTCTTGGATCTGCCCATCCGTTTCCAGGAGGGTCTCCTCCCTCGTAGGAAACACACGGTTGTCTGCGTTGTCTGCGAGCACCAACATGCAAGCTGCTGTCGCTGTCAGGTGCCAGGCAGGCCCTGACTCACTGCAGCTCTGTGGACACTAGAATGAAATAAACATGTACGCAAGGCGCATGGCAAAGTGTAGAGCGAGGTGTGCTAATTATCAATTTTCTGTCTCTCGGCTCCAAATTCATTATTTTTGCCATCACTGAAAATGAAAGTGGGCCCTGTGTTTCCTTTCCCACCTGGACGAAGTTAACATTTCTAAGTAGCGGGCACTAAAGAGAGATGTTTTAGGAAGAAAAGAGGTTTGGCGGGGTGGGGTGGGGTGGGGGTGGGGGGGGTTGCACTGTGCTTTCTTAGCAAGTTCCTGCAGATGATCTGCCACACCAGATGCCTGAGGTTCACACAGCTTCTCCGTCAGCCAGCCCCTAAGTAGGCAGTCTGGCAGGGTACTCTATGCCCCCACCCAAGAGACTTTTTACTAGAAATCCTACCAACAAGAATTTCCTTATGAACAGCTTTTCCAGGGACCCAGAGCAAGGGTTGGCAAACTTCTTCAAGGGCTGTTGTTGTGGCTGTTGGGTAACAGTGCCTGTTCTGGGCCATCTTCACAATGGTTCCTATCAGGGAGCCCACTGATGCAGCCACGGTGTCCCTCCACCGCCTCGTGGGCCTTCCTTTTGCTCTGCTCTTCCACTTTACCAAATAGTCCTTTCTCCAGGGACTGGTCTCTTCTGACAACGTGTCCACAGTATATGCGAGAAAGTCTCCCCACCCTAGCCTCTAAGGAGCATTCTGGCTGGACTTCCAAGACTGATCAATTGTCCTTTTAGCAGTCCATGGTATTTCAACATTTTTTCCCAGCACCGTAATTCAAATGCATTGATTCTCCTTTTGTCTTCTTTATTGAGTGTCCACCTTTCATATGCCTATGAGGTCATTTAACATGTACATTTTACAGCTTGTGTCAGGTGCACCTTAGCTCTCAAAGTAACACCGCACTCTTCAATACTCTACAGAGATCTTGTGCAGCAGGTCGCTCTTCAATACTCTACAGAGATCTTGTGTAGCAGGTCTACATATTGCCATGCGTCTTTTGCCCTCTTGACTGCTGCTTCCATAAGCATTGATTTGGTGTGGATTCAAGTAAGATGAAATCCTTGACAACTTCAAGGTCTAAATAGTAAATATTTAAGGTTTGTGGGGAAAGATGGGGCTATCTACATTCGTAAAGAGTTACAGTCTCAGGAAAACACAGGGGCAGTTCGACCCTGTCCTACAGCGTTAATATGCATTAGCATTGATGTGATGGCAGTGAGTTATGGTCTGTCAAGACTACTCAACTCTGGGAGTCATTACAGGGAGAAAATATTCCTGACCCGTTCATAAACAATTGGGTGTGGCTGTGTTCCAATAAACCTTTATTTACAAAAACAGGTGGCCAGCTATGAATTATAGTTTTCTCTGGAATAGATTCCAGTCAAATTCCCAAGGACAAACTTCCTGCAAATTCAGTCCGCTCAGCCCACAGTAACTTCTCTGCCATCCGGTGAACCATGGTCATGCCCTCTACATAAGGTCTGGGTCTTTGCCCCAGAGGGGTCCTCTTCCTTGGACTTTCTATCTCAGACATGTGTAGTAGTTGATCACCTATCAATTATTGTTATATTAGAGAATGTAACACTGCTCCCTCATTACTCCAATCCTGTTTCAGTTAACATTTCTTTACATAACTCTTTGTTTCAATTATTTGTAGGTTCTCTCTCCTTATTGGACTCTGTCTGATACCCATGCACAATGTTAAGTGGCAAGTATTAAGATTAAACAAGTCATCAAAAGATAGAGCGTCTGGGGTCTTAAAGGCTTGAAGGTAAACAAGTGGCCATCTAGCTGAGAAGCAACAAAGCCCACATGGAAGAAACACATCACCTGTGCGATCACGAGGTGTCAAAGGGATCAGGTATCAGACATCAAGGGGAAAAAAAATCACATCATTGTGAATGAGGGGGAGTGAAGATTGGACTCAAATGGACCCAAAGCCCATCTGTGGGCAACTGGACCTCCCCTTACAGAAGGGTCACAGAGAAGAGATGAGCCAGTCAGGGTGCAGCATAGCAACAATGAAACGTACAACTTTCTTCTAGTTCTTAAATGCTTCCCGCCCGCCGCCTCCCCGCCACTACTATCATGATCCCAATTCTACCTTACAAGTCAGGCTAGACCAGAGGATGTACACTGGTATGGATAGGAACTGGAAACACAGGGAATCCAGGCAAGAGTGGCAATACCAGAAGGGTAGAGTGAAGGTGGAGTAGAAAGGGGGAACCGGTCACAAGGATCTACGTATAACCCCCTCCCTGGGGGATGGACAACAGAAAAGTGGGTGAAGGGAGATGTTGGACAGTGTAAGACATGACAAAATAATAATAATTCATAATTTATCAAAGGTTCGTGAGGGAGGGGCCGGGGAGGGATGGGAAAAATGTGGAGCTGATACCAAGGGCTCAAGTAGAAAGCAAATGTTTTGAGAATGATGATGGCCACAAATGTGCAAATGTGCTTGACACAATGGATGTCTGTATGGGTTGTGAGAAGTATTGTAACAGCCCCCAATAAAATGACTAAAAAAAAAAAAAAGATTAAATGAGTCAAACTCAGTTCCCTTACTTTGATGAGCCTGAAAGGTAGACAATAAAAAACAAATGCTGCTCACTTTGGCAGCACATATAGTAAATACTAAAATTGTAACAATACAAAGAAGATTAGCATGGCCCATGCACAAGGATGACATGCAAATTCATGAGGCATTCCATATTTCAAAAAATAAACATAATGGCATAGTATGGTAAGTGCTAACAGGAATAAACAAAGAAGACAGGGTATTTTTCACAGAAAGTATTCAATGCAAGCTTCTTTACAGAGGTAAAATTTAAGCTAACAACAAAAAATTAAGACAGCCAACTGTACTTTAGCACATTATCTCTTTCATTCTCCCTGATATATTTTAGGGGAAAAAGCCTGTCTATATATGTGCTTATATATTTATGTTTACTGTATTTCTTTAAGAAACATATTCTTTACCTGGGAGTTTCTCTCATATACTTTGCATTAAATGTACTATATTTTTCAGAGGTTTCCAGTCATTCAAGAAATTACCTTTGAAAAAGCACTTAACAACACTTATATGTAACCCAAGAGGAGAATATGCTTGAAATTACGATTGTAACTGGGCACATGAGAACTAGTTTCTATTGAGCCCCGACACCCCAGGCTATGTGCTTCAGACTAACGGGACTTCAGGCCCTGTGCCTTCCAGGTGTGCAACATCCTTCATGGCCACACCAGAAGGGCTCCATGTGGAAAGTCTACTAGTGAACTGGGCTGTACCTCAAACTCACCTGTAGCCCTTGGACTTAGGGCTGAAATTACATGGGAAGAAACAGAAGACAGCTATACCAAGGGTAAAAAACTGGCAGTTGTTGGACTACCATGTAAGTACGTAGTATATTATCATAATACCAAATATTACCCTGTTTCCCCCCAAATAAGACAGTGTCTTATATTAATTTTTGCTCCCAAAGATGCGCTAGGTCTTATTTTCAGGGGATGTCTTAGTTTTCCATGAAGAAGAATACAGTACACATTTAATGTTTATTGTTTTATTAAAAGAGACCTCAGACTTCCTGGCTGCTCTGGCTGTGCTGCGGCCAACGGTGAGCTGGGTGGAGGCACCCGCCTATACGGTCCAGAGTCCAGAGTTACGGTAGCTTTGGGGGCCCTTATTTTGGGGGGATGCTTTATATTTCAGCGAGAGGCAAAACTGTAAGTAGGTCTTATTTTTGGGGGGTGTCTTACTTTCAGGGAAATGGGGTACCATCATTAAGAAGTATTGATATGATAAGCCTGGTCCTGCCACTGTGAATGAGTATTATTGAAAGTTTTGCTTTACTGCCAAACCCAATTGTTTATGTAGTGTCCAGTCACTTAAGGATTTAATGTTTTAGTTTCCTTACTGTATTTGAAAGACAATTTAGCTGGAAATATGATTCCTGGTTGGCAATTCTTTAAGGATTTTAAACATCTCATTCCATTGCCTTCTTGCCTGCATAGTTTCTGCTGCAAAATCATTGTGTGGAGGAGTGGGGGCAGGGGTGTGTAAGCTGCTCTAAATTCTTTGTCTTTGGTTTGGAAAGTTTGTGTTTCAGTGAGTTTCTTTTGAGAGTCTCTCCTATGTGGGGTGTATTAAACATTTTGGTTGAAACCTCTCTTGTCTTCCATGGTATTTGGATGAATCCCCTCTTATCGTCTTCCATGATATTTAAGAAGTTATCTGTCAACATGTTTCAAAAATTTTCTTTGTCCTTTTCCCCGTTCCTCATGTGTAATTCCTGTTACATGTAAATTATTCATTTTGATGATGTCCCATATAAATATTAAACGTTCATATTCTTTTCCTTCTTTTTTTCTGATTGTTCTTAAAATGTATTAGCATACAAGAATTTGTCTTCTGTTCCACCAAGTCTTTCTTCTGTTGATTCAATTATATTTCCAAATCCTTACATTGAATTAATAATTTCTGATATTTCATTATTGACTGCTTTTAAATGTTTTTAAAATTATTGTGCTCATCATTTTGAATTCTTCTAGGGTTTTTACCTCTGTTTTTCTTGATCTCTTTGAGAAGTCTATATGTTAGTCTTTTAAATTCCTAATCTGGTAGCTATCTTTCTTCCTCAGAAGTGTTTTCTGTCCCTTTATTTTGCTCATTAGTTAGAGCCAAATTATCTTGAGTTTTCATATAATTTGTTATTGTGTTGCCTCCAAAAGCATTAAGAATTTATTTATACATTCCTTTATTGACTATATGTTTGTTTAATGCTGGTTGTTTCCTCTTGATATACAAGGAGCTTAATGTCTTCTCTATTTGAAATGTCTTTCCTCCTTTGTGTTATTCCGGTTGTTGTTTTGTGGTTCTGGTCTATGCAGGACTTTGGTAGTGTCAGTTGCCAGGATGCAATTTTCTCATTAGTGGGCATGGTGGCCTGGTGGTTACACGTTGGGCTGCTAACTACAAGGTCAGCGGTTTGAAATCACTAGCTGCTCCGTGGGTGAAAGACAACACCTCCTCCACAGAGACCCACAGAAGCAGTCCTACCCTGTCCTACTGGGCTGATACAAGTTGGAATTGACTTGATGGCATTGAGTGGGCTGGTTGCAGTGGGGAAGGTGAGCCAAACCCACATGACAGTCCTCTGTGGTGAGGGTTAACTGACTTCCTTCACAGAACTGAGTGAATGTAGGAGAACAGGTGATTTCCTTCATAGTGGATGACAAGTATTGTGTGGCCAGGGTCCTTTCACAAGTCTTGTGGACTGTGGAGTTATCCTGGATTAGTACCAGCAGTTAGTGTATCCTCTAGAAGTCAAGGCAGGATGTCCTGGTAGTGAGTTAGTTCAAGTTTATTGTGCCCACCTGGCCGATAAACACATGTGGGGTTAATTGAAGGGCAGAGAGATAAATGGCTCGCTGAGCCTTGCCTTTCGAGTTCTCGGGTCTCTTGCTTTGTGATGGTCGGACCAGGGTGCAGCTGCCTTAGCAGTTCCCTGCTTCAGCTGGCAAGGCTCATTTCCTGCAAGACATCCCCAAGGAGAAGCCACATGGACCTACCCTGATGCAGCCCTGGGTGCTGGAGCAGCCGTGTGGAGAACCCTGCCAGTGCTGAGATGCTTACACACTCACTGATTCAGCTTTCCTCCTGCAGTCAGTTTCACAGTGTGTGTTTTGTGAGATGGAGGAGGGCTTTGTGGATTGGTGTTGGACATATGGGTTAATATTGGACTTGTGGGCTTGGGCAACTCTGGGTTGGGATGTTTTCTTGATGTGCACTTAACCTTTATACAAGACTTTCTTTTATACATGGCTTTCTGTGGATTTGTTTCTCTAAAGTACTCAGACTACACAGTAGACATTGATAAAGTGCAACCCAAATGAACAGAATAGGTTCCACGTACATAACTGAATTGTTATCTTAGTAGGTGGTGAGGGATCAAAGAGTTGCAGCGCTTGTACAGTCAGCCTGCTATAACTCTCTGAGTGTGGGATGTGTGACATAGCAGCTGGGAAGACAGTGGATGAAGGGACTAGGATCTTATGCTCATCATTTAGCAAAGGTGCAGACGTCACTTGTAGAGATGTGACAGGCATTGCTGATGAAGTGATGTGCCTGTCCAGCAGGTCACTAAGCATGAGTTCAGGGAAAATTCTCACCAGTTCCTGGATTATGAGCACTATGCTTAACCAGATGCCAGGTGGTCATGGCAGGGGTGCATGGATCACTTGTCTCCAGAGCTCAGGCCAGTGCCACCCGAGGAGCAGCACAGCAGTGGGCAGAAATGCACTGCCAATCATCAGGGTGGTGGAGGCATAGGGTGGTGAGTGATGCACATGTGCTATCAGTCTTTGGTGTAGTGGCATGGGAGCATGCACCACTGGGAAAGCAGTAGCAAGAGTAGGGATAGATAGGTAGAATGGGCATGCAGCACAGATTTATGAGAACAGTGACACAATGAGTCACAGGTGGGCATGTATTATTGAACACGGGCAGGGTGGATTGTGCTGCCAGTCACTGGATGGGCGAGGCAAAGGTCACTGAGAGGCAAAGGGAGAACATGTCCTTCCGGTCATCAGCATCGGCACCAGGCACTCCTTAGTGAGTACACTCTGTTGATCAAGACTCAGTTCCCAACCAAATGTGAGGGGCTGTCTGGAGCCTGGTATCTCCAGGTTCCACTTTGCAGATCCTTCTTTTGTAGGTATCATCAGTAAAAAACAACCCGAGACTGGTCCTGGTGAGGAGCTCTTTCCATTTTCTGGTTCCCTCCCTATTCCGTGGTTGCTTGGACTCCTGGAGTTCTCACCCACCTTCCTACACTTTCCCTCTTTAGAGCTGGTTCATGTTCTACCTACCTTTCTTCACTCTGCATTCTGTCTCCTATTGGGAATCTCTGAAGGTGTCTTCTTGCTCAATTAGAAATGTTGCTTGCTCTGTATCAAGATGACCATGATGTGCAAGGTCAGTTGGCAGGGCACCATAATCTGTAAATGGACTTGTTTCTGCTTTCATCCAGATTCTCGTCACAGCCAGCGTTCAGTCTGATTCTTCATCCTTCTACTTTTGCTGCTTATGCTTCCAAGACTGTCAGCTGAACCTGTTTCACTTGGTTTCTCATGTTTTTTTTCAATCATTTTATTAGAGGTCCATACAACTCTTATGACAATCCATACAGACATCAATTGTGTAAAGTGCATTTGTACATTCATTGCCCTCATCATTCTCAAAACATTTCCTCTCCACTTAAGCCCCCAACATTAGGTCCTCATTTTTCCCCTCCCTCCCCACTCCCCCCTCCCTCATGAGCCCTTGATAATTTATGAATTGTTATTTTGTCATATCTTGCCCTGTCCGACGTCTCCCTTCACCCACTTTTCGGTTGTCCGTCCCCCAGGGAGGAGGTCACATATAGTTCCTTGTAACCGGTTCCCTCTTTCCAACCCACTCTCCCTCTACCCTCCCAGTATCGCCACTCACACCACTGGTCCTGAAGGGATCATCCGGCCTGGATTCCCTGTATTTCCAGTTCCTATCTGTACCAGTGTACATCCTCTGGTCTAGCCAGACTTGCAAGGTAGAATTCGTGTCATGATAGTGGGGGTGGGGAGGAAGCATTTAGGAACTAGAGGAAAGTTGTATTTTTCATCGTTGCTACATCGCACCCTGACTGGCTCGTCTCCTCCCCGAGACCCCTCTGCAAGGGGATCT